CTGAGCAATCTGTTTTTACTAATTATGTCAATGCGAATTTACCCATTGATAAATTAGATGGTACGAATTATGCAACTTGGGCATCTGATATTAGACTTTGGCTTGAGAGTCAGGGGTATGTTGATCATCTTACTACCAAGGTAGATGATGTTCCTTCCAATGATCGTGTCCGTTGGAAGAAAGTTGATGCTCATATATGTATGGTTCTCAAGAATACCATCCAATCTTCTTTAAAACAAATTTTTCGATCGTATGGCACATGTTATGACGTTTGGGAACAAGCCAAATTATTATACACCAATGACACTCAACGTCTTTATGGTGTTTGTTACAATCTTCTTGATGTTATTGCTCCTCGAGATAAGGATCCTATGGCGGATTATGTGGGTAAGATCCATGCTCTTCTCCATGAATTTAATGAGTTATTACCCCCGCCTCGACTCCTGCCCAAGAATTAGAGCAACGATCAAAGTTTTTCATGGTTTTGATGTTACACGGACTTGCTCGATAAATATGCCCCTGTTCGTGACCAGATTTTGGGTTCCCCTGTTACACCCGAGTTTACCGCTACCAGTTCCTCCCTTTTGCGGGTGCCATGTAAACCTCTCAATATTCCCCGGTAGTTTCTAATGATTCATCTGCCTTGGCCTCTCACCGTGATGATCGTAATCGCTCTCACAAGCCAGGCAAAGGGCGTGTCAAGTGTGACCATTGTGGCAAACTAGGCCACAAAATTGACAAATGTTATGCTTTACATGGTTATCCTCGCCGATCTCGCTGCAGTTGCTCGGGCTGATTCTTCCGCACAATCCTCTGCTTGTGGATCCTCCTTCGTCTGTACCTTCGGACAAATCCGCTATCTTCAATGATTTTCTTCAATGGTATAAGGATCGAAAGCCCTCCGGTTCCACTACTTACGTTGCCCACACAGGTACATCTTTTGCTTGGTCCGACTCACTCTTCTTCTATTGGCCCTTGGGTTCTTGACTCGGGCGCCACCGATCATATCACTTGGTAACAAATCCTTATTTTCCTCTTTCACTTCTTCTCATAATTTACCCTCTCGTTACAATGGCTAATGGGTCTACAACTTTAGCTCATGGTGTTGGAACGGTTACTCTTTTTCCCTCGTTGTCCATTGATAATGTTTTGTATGTACCGGGTCCCCCTTTAACTTATTATCCATTAGCCGTCTAACTCGATCTCTTGATTGTGTTATCTCTTTTACCAAAACTTCGTTTCCCTAAAGGACCGGAGCTCGCAAAGAGTGATTGGCACCGGATGTGAGTCACATGGACTTTATTATCTTCAACCTTCTCCACATGTTGGCACGATTATGGAGTCTCCTTCTCTCCTTCATGCTCGGCTTGGTCACCCCGATCGGCGCAAATTACAGCAACTTGTTCCCGAGCTTATCCCAGTTGTCCAATTTGGTGTGTGAGTCCTGTCGATTAGGCAAACATAGTCGTACTTCCTTTTCTCGTAGTGTTTCCCAGCGTGCTTCATCCCCCTTTGCCTTAGTTCATTCTGACATTTGGGGACCCAGTCGTGTTAAGTCTAATTTAGGTTTTCAATATTTTGTTACTTTTATTGATGATTTCTCTCGTTGTACTTGGTTATTTTTAATGAAAAATCGTTCTGAGTTGTTTTCTATATTCCAAAACTTTTATCATGAAATTAAAAATCAATTTGGTGTCTCTATTCAAACTTTTCGAAGTGATAATGGCCGTGAATATCTTTCAAACTCGTTTAAACAATTTATGGCTTCTCATGGCATTCTTCATCAAACTTCCTGTGCTTATACCCCTCAACAAAATGGGGTGGTCGAGCGCAAGAATAGACACCTTATTGAAACAACCCGTACTCTTTTAATTCATGGTGAGGTTCCTCAACATTTTTGGGGTGATGCTGTTCTTACTGCCTGTTATGTTATTAATCGTATGCCCTCTTCGGTTTTAGATAACAAAATTCCCCATTCTATTTTATTTCCTCATGACACTCTCCATCCTTTACCTCTGAAGGTTTTTGGGTCTACCTGTTTTGTCCACAATTTTGATCCTGGTCATAATAAGTTATCTCCTCGATCACACAAATGTGTTTTCTTAGGATTTACTCGATCCCAAAAAGGATACAAGTGTTTTTCTCCTTCTCTTAATCGCTATTTTGTGTCTGCCGATGTCACCTTCAATGAGTTTTCCTTTTACTTTAAGGACTCTTCCCTACCTGCTGAGTCTCCATCTGCTACAGTTCCCATTCCTGTTCTCATTGATCCTTATGTTGAGGACCATCCACCATTAGCCCCTCCTCCTCCACCACCCCTTCAGGTTTATAGTCGCAGACCTCGCCCACAACAGACGCCACATGACTCACTCCCAGTGCCAAATACTCTGCCTCCTCCGGTTCCGTCCACGAGTCCGACCTTCCTATTGCCCTTCGTAAAGGTACGCGTTCTACTCGTAATCCTTCTCCACATTATACTTGCTTTAAGTTATCATCGAATTTCTTCACCATTTTATACTCGTCTCTCGTCTATTTCTTCCGTGTCTATTCCTAAATCTGTCTCTGAAGCCTTAGCCCACCCTGGTTGGCGTCAGGCCATGCTAGATGAACTCGGTGCTCTTCGGACTAGTGGAACACTGGACGCTTGTCCCATTACCATCTCGGAAAATCGTTGTTGGTTGCGGGTGGGTCTTCGCTATCAAGGTTGGTCCTGATGGTACTATTGATCGCCTCAAAGCTCGCCTTGTAGCCAAAGGCTATACCCAAATTTTTGGGTTGGATTATGGTGATACTTTCTCTCCGAGTGGCAAAGATGGCTTCGTTCGTTTATTCATTGCCATGGTCTGCTATTCAACAATGGCCTCTTTATCAACTGGATGTCAAAAATGCTTTCTTGAATGGCGATTTGCAAGAAGAGATTTATATGGAGCAACCTCCGGATTTGTTGCTCGGGGAGTCTTCCGGATTGGTATGTCGTCTTCGCAAATCTTTATATGGCCTAAAACAGTCTCCTAGGGCCTGGTTTGGAAAATTTAGCGACGTTGTTCAACAATTTGGCATGACTAGAAGTGAGGCGAGACCACTCGGTCTTTTACAGTCACTCGAATGCTTGGATGTATCTATTTGATAGTGTATGTCGATGACATTGTTCTTACAGGTAGTGACCATCATGGCATCTCTCGGATGAAACAACACCTTTGCCACCATTTTCAAACCAAAGATCTTGGCAAACTCGAGATATTTCTTGGGTATTGAGGTAGCACAATCTACCGATGGCATTGTTATATCTCAAAGAAAGTATGCATTGGATATTTTGGAGGAAGCTGGGTTGATGAATTCAAAGCCTGTTGACACACCCATGGATCCTAATACCAAACTCTTGCCAAATCGGGGGAGCCAATGTCGGATCCTGAACGAGTATAGAAGATTAGTTGGAAAATTAAATTATCTTACAGTTACTCGCCACGACATTTCCTTTGCGAGTCAGTGTGGTGAGTCAATTCCTCAATTCTCCTTGTCAAGATCATTGGAATGCGAGTCATCCGTATATTGAAGTACATCAAAAAGTCTCCTGGAAAAGGTTTGGTGTATGACTCTCATAATCATACAAGAGTTGTCTCGCTATTCGGATGCTGATTGGGCGGGATCTCCTCTCGATAGAAGATCTACATCTCGGGTATTGTGTTTCCATTGGTGGTAACTTGATCTCATGGAAAAGTAAGAAACAAAGTGTTGTGGCAAGATCCGAGTGCGAAGCGAGTATAGAGCTATGGCCTCGGCTACCTGTGAACTTATTTGGCTCAAGCAATTGCTTAAAGAGCTACAATTTGGAGATGTCACTCAAATGACACTAGTGTGTGACAATCAGTGCTGCTCTCCATATAAGCTCTAATCCTGTCTTTCATGAGAGGACTAAACACATTGAGATTGACTGCCATTTTATTCGGGAAAAGATTATGTCTGGAGACATCAAGACTGAGTTCGTTAACTCATGTGATCAATTAGCAGATATTTTCACTAAGTCTTTACGGGGACCTAGGATGGATTATCTTTGTACCAAGCTAGGCACATACGATTTGTATGCTCCGACTTGAGGGGGAGTGTTAGATATGATTAGATATTGTTTGATATTGTTGAGATATTGTTAGATATTGTTAATCACAATATCAAATAATATCTTTTTATTTACCCTATTTGTATTCTGTTACTCTTTTGAGGAGTACCTTTCTTTATTATAAATACACTCGCCCTATGTGTGGTAAACACATAAGGGAAATTAACCCTATACAGTTTTTCCCTATATTCAACAGATGGAATAACAATTTTAAAATAAAATTCAACTTATTATATTTGATAAAAATATGGTTCAGCCTATATAGAAGCTTTGTCATCAGAATTACAAAGATTCAATAAAGAAAATAAATGTTAATAATGATTCATTAACTTAGGAATTGAAAACTACTTAATGGAGACAAATAAAGGCTAATAATGATCCATTAACCTAGGAATTGATACTACTTAATGACTGATTGTAACTGAAATTGTGACAACCAAAAGTCAATCAGCTATGCACCCTCTTGGTCTCCCAAAGACTAATGACTAAGTTTCCAATTGGACCCTTATTACAACTTGCAATAAAACCAAACTAAAACCCATTAATTGATTAATCCAAAACACAATTTGATCAACCAACAATACTTGTTGAAGAGTTTCCTTTGTTTCCCTTGCTCTAGCCCTTGTCATAGGTCATGTCCACATCAAAAGCCAACCTTGGTAAGGATGCATTTGCCTGTGTGGATGATATTGCTATAACTGATAGTGCTCAACATGACATACTTCAGTTCAACTAACTAAAACTTTGGTAAACTGCAATATTTCTTGGATATCTAGGTAGTTTGTTGAATGCCAAGTTGGTTGACACTCCTATGAAACATAAAATTTCTATCCAACATAAAATTCATCAAATCCCACCAAAATACAAGTTTGAGCGTGCATGTAAACTAGTCTGAGTTTGTCCAAGTTGAACAGTTTGGCTTATGTGAGCAAGTAAACCTGTCCTTTAAGAGTTGACTTATGATTTTAATAGCCATGCCACTAGCTTTGTCAGCTCTAGTAATCAAATAAGCAGATAACTTTATCCATTCCTAAGACGTTTTCAAATCAATTATCTGTGTAACAAGCTTGGGGTATAATTTATGAGCTCCAGCATGAGAGAGAGGTGTTGGAAATTTGTAGGCATATCATATCATGTTTATGGGAACAAAAATTCCTATATTTAATTTTATTATTACATTCAGCCAGTATAACAAAGACTCTTGTGTAGTTGAGACTTGGTTTCAGAGTATCCTATGCCTATGCTTTCTCTCTTTTAACAAAAATATTTCTTTGATGTTGAAATTGCTAAATCAAGTGTCAGGATCACCTCTCCCAAAGGAAGTATACATTAGACATACTTAAAGAAAGTGATATGTCAGACATTGGACCCATATATAGTACCCTGAATCCAAATAAGAAATTACTTATCAGGGGAAGCCCCTAATCTAGAAATTTATAAGAGATTAGTTGGAAACTATCTACATCGCCATTCCTAGACCAAACTGTTCCTTTATAGCTAGGGTAATAAGCCAATTTTTGCAATCACTTAATATTGAACATTGCAAAATTTATGGAGCATTAAAAAGGCATCAGGATAAGCCTTCCCTATGAAGACAAAGGAAACACTCAAATTGTTGGATATCAGCAAAGTGAGCAATTTGACCTATTACAGGAAGTTCTACTTCAAGTTGGATATTTGTGTTTCAATTGGAGGAAATAATGTCTCATGCAAAAGTAAAAAACAAAAGTTGTTGGGCAATCTAGTGCAGAAGCTGATTACATGGGTACAACTACCTGTGATCTCATTTGGATTAACATCTCATTCAAGGATTGATGTTCGGAGACTTCCAAAAGATGAAATTATCATGTGATAAATAGGAAACTCTTCATATAGCCTCTAATCCATTGTTTCACAAAAGAACTAAGAGTATTGAAATTGAACGTCATATTGTTTGAGACAAGGTTCTTTCCAAAGAACTTGTCATAAAATCTGTAAGTTCTAATGCATAACTAGCAGACATCTTCATAATGTCTCTAAGGGGGCTTGAATTCAATTAAGTTGCTAAACAATGAAGTTTATGAGTATATAATGAGTTTCAAAAAAAAATGTAGAAGAGGCGATTATTTGATTACAAATTATCAATAATTCTATTTACCAAAAATCTTACTGTTCCAAGCTTGGAGCATTTGACTTATATGTTGCAACTTGAGAATTGACAATATGTATAAATGTATGGCCTTCTGAGTGGTTTTTAATCAAGAAATTCAGTTATATTCTAATTTAACTAAATTGAATTAAATAAAAAAAAAGTAAACAGAATTAATTTAGACAAAATATACTGCATATCCAAGAAAAATCCTCAATACCCCATTTGGTTAAGGGGATGGGAAAGGATGGGGAAGGGCAGAATTGACACGGTGTCTGGTGGGAAGAGAAAAGAGAAGAAATAATTTTAAAAATGGTAGGTTTCATTGTATTATTTCTCACCTATTTCTACTCTTATTATTTTTTTTTTTTTTTTACTTCTCTTCAACCAAACACCTTCAATTATCATCTGTTTCCATTCTAACAACTTGTTTCTATCACACCTATTTCTTTCCTTTCTACTCAACACGGCATGAAAAAATAGATTAACTAAAAACTATATCTAAATAGCAGCATTTACATCCAAGTTTCCTAAAATCAGGCTCATTTTTTTACCAAATTCAGAAAACAGTTAAAATGATTCCGTACCTGTAAACTTTTGCTCTCAAATTGATTTTAGTCAAGTCCCTTCCAATTTGGCTTTTCTGAAAATCATATTGATTTCCACCCTTGTCTAGTGAAAACGTTAGTGCAAATCCTCCTTGTGTGAGGGAATATATGTACCTATGAACCATCACAGAAACCATCGAGATTCCATAACACATTAGATCAATGAAATTAGGAATATTAAGAAAATGAAATTGGTATAAGCTACTAACGTTGAATCAAAAAGATCAATCCCAGCATCAATTCCTTCTAAGATCTCCTCTGTAAAGTTGAGATCAGTTTTATGCACAATAAATTTGTTTTCCAACTCAATAAAGAAATAATCCATTTTAAGATGCACAAGACAACTTCTAAAAGATTAAATGACCAGACATCTACAATTCAACCAGACATCTACATTTTACTTAATTGGCTGATGATAAATTGATTATGTTGAGAACTGCTACATAATCTTGAACACAGTCATTGTAGATGTCTGGTCATTTAATCTTTTAGAAGTCTGGTCATTCAACCATCTCAATGACTGTGTTCAAGATTATGTAGCAGTTCTCAACATAATCAATTTATCATAAGCCAATTAAGTAAAATGTTTCAGGTAAATGAACTCTATTGATTACAATAATAGGAAAAAAAAAAGGTAGAAGAGAAGAGGGAAAAGATAATCAAATACCAAGACACAGAAGGAGAAACATATATATTGAACAAAGCAGGAACGCATTGAACACATTAACTAGTTAAACCACATGTACCTGGGAGCCCGAGCCCACTGATCATGCGTGGCTTTTCATCTGGCAAAACATCCTGGGAACAATGTCACCTTATGATATCAAAATATATTACTTTCACCAACAACCAACTCTCCCAAAACTTAAGCTATTCAATGACATGAATGGTTTGTATTTGTTGGTTATGTGCTTGATATTCATTTATTATCATTGTTCTATTTTCTAATTTCTTCATCTTGGAGATCTCTTAATCAAAGGAAATTTACATCATATTAACAATAAAAAAAATTCAAAGTGTAGTAAGAAAGAAATGGAAATGTACAGCAGGTAACTACAATTTCTAAAATAACTCCTAGCATTTAGGCTTATGTCTGCAACTAAGGCAGACTAGTAGTAACCACAATTAGTGCAAGACACGTTTCTAATAGAGGGCATACTTTATCATACACAAAAGGTGTATTTTAAATAAAATTATGAATAAGTAATTATCATTATGCTTGACAGAACAACATAGAACACAGCTTAGTTTCATGCACATTACTCTGCTCTGTAGTCAGGCTTGGTAATAACAGAGAGCCATATGAGGTATCCACCTTGCTCATATAATACAATACAGAGATATAGATATTGTCTTATATGAGGATAAAAAAGGGGAAATAAGTAGACATGAATTCTTCTTAGAAGCATAAATAGTAATATTTATGGAATATCAAACAGATACGAAAAGTAATATGAAAATCAAGTTATAATAGTATTCATTGTAATACACAATACTTGTCAAGATTAATTAAAGTATTTTTTCTTATTAAATAAAAGGACAAAGCTTTCACACAGTTTTATAAGTGTTTGTGTAGTTCTTCAATTATAGTTGAAATTTTATATAGTAAAATGCATAATCCTTTAATGCAAACCTTTATTTCACATATTACAAGGTGAAACTATAATTACATTTATCAAACAGAAGTATAAATATTACTTAGAGAATATTATTTAAGTTTCCTAAATGAAATCCAATTAGAATAACGACTTACTGAAATAAGTAAACTATTACAAGCACACTTACTATAATAGCACTTAGAAGAGCAGGTCGCTCTTCAATCCCCTCTCCTAGACCAAACCCTCCAATCCAATAACCTGCATCAGTCATTACAGTTCATCTATCATATGTATCTGAAGATACACGAATTTGAAGATTTCAAATGTATCACATAGCATAAAAGGAAAATAAGTTAACTATTTTAAATTGCAGTTGTGGATATTGCATCTGCAGTGACACAAATTATGACAAGAGGCTATTATATGTTTGCACTTGGCATAACAAAAGAATTTTATTTTAACTATTAGTTTATCTTTTATAACTATGCATTAGTACATCAAGCAACCTCTCAACACATCATCTTGAACTGCACGCACCCTCTCAACATCCCACACTCCGACCATTGACTTTTAGAAGTTTGTGTAGAAGATTGAAATCTGAAAATTTTGTTTGTTTTGTATAAAGAAGTGAAATAAAACAGTGTTGAGATTTTATTGTCACTTCATTGCATTGCAACAGTTTGTATGATTAAAATTCACACTGCAACTTTGGGAAACTCTTTGTTTCCTATTCTTGTTTTTTTTTTCTTTGAGAAATGCTAATTGTTACCATGCTACTTTTTTGTTGGCAGGGGATTCAAACTCGCAGCCTATCCCACTTTCCTTTCAATTCCTTTAAAATTTCACCAGCAACCAACCTTATAATTTCACCAGCAAGCAACCCAAGGTGAAGATTTGTATAATTTAGTAGATTTCATTTAGCTTGATTGTTGCTATTAGATGTTATATTGTTTTTAGTTAAGTGTTAGTTTGAGAAGCCTTAGTCTGTTAAGTTAGCTATTCTCGTTATAGCTAACTATAGGCTTGCTATCTCCTATATGAAGTTTTAGCCAATTGTAAAGAGCGACACAGAAGTGTATAGAGAAACTATTAGGTGAGGTACCTTTCTTGAGTAAATTTATACAAGTGTGTGTAATTCTTCTCTTACAATAAAATCATAAAATACCTTGAAGAGTGGATATAGGGGATTATGCCCAAACCACTGTAATTCTTGTAATGTTCTGTTATTCCCCGATAACATTTTCTGCATATATATATATATATATATATATATATATATATATGCTCCTCTATTGTGTATGTAACACAGGGATTTCATCTGATTCCATCATATATCTGAACAATTAGTATGTATGAACTTCATGATTCCTAGACAAATTATTTATATATTTTAAGCCAAAGGCCTAAAGTGGTGATATGTGGTGTTAAACTCTATTCTTGAGGTTTACTTTATGTATAAATCTACATTTTGCATGGTTTTACAAGTGAATCAGTATATGGATTGTACTATTTACAAGGGAGACTGCTGAAATTTTGGTAGCACTTGTTTGTTTTCTTTAGTGGTTTCTTGATATTGAACTACTTAAAGGCTCGCCAGACTAAGGGAAGCATCCAATCATGATCCAAGTATGGGTCATGATAAAAGGATAGAGAAACTCACTCTAGTCGACAAGTTCAATTGTATAAACCAGAGGTAAATATGCTTGTAATTACAATGAGGATTTGGCTTAGAATGTTATTGGTGGCTTACCAAAGGATGTAAAAAAAGTGTGTCAAGCATCAGAGTCTTATTGTAAGTGCTGATGCAATCAAAAGTCCCACCTCAATTCAAGCAACTTAGAAAGATGAGAACTAGGTTTAAGCCATGAGAAAAAAAAAGAGGGCATTAGAGAGAAACTCACCCTCAGAGATTGTAGATATGCCAAAAGGCAAGAAGGCAATTGGTATTATCTGAGTATTGTATTACTTAGTTTGTAAAAGAGTGTATTACTCTTTGTTATCTTAATTAGTTAGGTTAGTTTAATTGTCACTAAGACAATTATATCCATGAGCTCTATAGTAAAGCTTCTTACAGCATATTGTAATTAACTTTTACTAAAATATTAGATTTAGTTTACTTTCTTTATCTCTTCTTCATTTCTTAACGTCTCTTTTCAACTCTATTGTCGCATCCAAAGTTTGACAATTTGAAATGGTTCAAAATCCTATTCCTTCCCCATTTGTCGCCGCCTTTGTGAATATTACTAAAAACCTCAATGATTCAAACTTTATGCTATGGCAACAACAAGTTGAACTGTGCATCAAATCACATCAATTGCAACATTTTACAGTGAATCCAATTATTTTGCTTCCATTATTTTTGGCACATGAGCTATGTCTTCAAAAGTTCTGCCATTCTTAATCTTACTCAAGTTCTTCTATCCAACACAATTTCACAACATGAATTCAATATCGTTGTAGTGTCTTCTTAGAACTTGCATAACAATGATTCTAAGGTTCAGCTACAAATTTCATGGGTTGTTTTGTGGTGGCCATGGTGGTGGTTATCGTGGATGCAGTCATGGTCATGGAGGACATTTTGCAAATGTTTAGTGACAAGTATGTTTCAAGTATAGACACATTACATTTCTTTGTTATCATCGATGAGCAGAATTATCAACCCATTTCTTCTGCCAATTTCTATTCTAGTTTTCAAGGTGCTTCAAAGCAAGCTTATCAAGAGAATGTCAATGCTCATAATAATACACCAGTGGTTCTCAACAACAATACTTAGTTCATCCTCTTCTATATCCACTTGAGAATTACCGTCTACCACAACAGCCATGACAATATCCACCTACTGCCATGTTAACTAACACAGGAGTTGGATTACTACCTACACCAAACACCACTCAGTATACAAATTGGTTCCTTGATTCTGGTGCTTCAATCCATGTCACTGGATATCACCAAAATGTTCAACGAACTGAACCTATAAAGGTCTTGAGCAGATATACAATGGTTATGGACAAGGTTTGACAATTCTAGCTCTGGTTCCTCCTATTTTGTTGCCCCTAACAATCCTAAAATTTCCTTGTGTCTTACTCGTTGCTACTATCACGAAAAACCTTATTAGTGTTAATAAGTTTGCAAAAGACAATTGTGTTTACTTTGAATTTCATGGTGCTCACTGTTTTGTCAAATCTTGGGTCACTAATGTAGTGTTAATCTAAGGGAATGTTGGACATGATGAACTGATGTTTCCAAATATCCAACTTCAAGCCACTCTTCTGCAGGTTCGATTTCTGCTTTACCATAAAAATCAATTTTCTCTGTCAATTCATTAGTTAATGATAGTTTTGTTCCTAGCACTTAGTGTGTTTGGCATGCTAGGTTGGGGAATCCTAATGCTCATGCATTGAAAATAATTTTATAGCAAACATAACATTTCTCTTTCCAAGAAAGAGGCTATTTCAGTAAGCACATTGCATTCGTTCTTCCCTATCTCAAATTGTTTACAGTTTTCCCGATGAACTTGTTTATAGCGATTTATGGGTGCCTAGTCCTCCAGTGGTTTTCAATATTATATAACATTTGTTGATGCATTTTTCAAGTTCACTTGGATCTATCCTCTCAAGTGCAAGTATATTTATTGTTTTTATACAATTTAAGGCTATGGCACAATTACAATTTAATTCATTTCTAAAGAGCATTCAACAAATTGGGGTGGTGAGTTCAGACCACTGACTACCTTCTTGGCTGATCTGGGTGCACAACATCGACTATGTGATGACACATATTCTCTGTATACATTTATAGTTTTATCATACATTGAAAACACTTTGCATATGTTTTATTTTCATTTTTTAAATTATTTCCTATTAGTTATAATAAATTGATCTTTATGACACAAGTATTTTAATTTAATATTTTTCAGCTAATCTAACTTTTGTTTACTCTTTTGATCATAAATTTTTTTGTAGATATGAATTTTGGTTTATTACAGTTGCACTAGGCCCTCATACTCATCATCAAGATGGGCTCATTGAGAGAAAACATACGTACATTGTGGATCTTGGTCTCACATTAATGAGTTGTGTTTCCCTTCCCCTCAAATTGTGGATCATGCTTTTATTACTATGGTCTATTTCATTAACAAACTTCCTACAAGCTCTCTTAACTACAACACTCAACATTTTGTTCTGTTTTATATTGTTTTTTATTACCACTTTTTCAAAACCTTTGGTTGCTCTTGCTTTTGAGACCTTACAACACACAATTTTGATTTTAGGTCACATGAGTGCGTTTTTCTTGGGTAATTTACAACACAAAGGATACAAATGTTTATTTTCTACAGGAAAATTATTTATCTCCAAAGATGTTCTCTTTATTGAACTATGTTTTCCTTATAACAAACTTTACTTCTTCCTAGCATCCAACTCTTATTCAATCTCTGTCTTCATCTTCCTCCAACATTCAGTCTATTCCTACATCTAGTTCTGAATCACCTCTTCCTGTTAACACAATTCCAATGCAAAGAGTCCAATTTTGGTATTCCTCAAACCAAAATACATCCATTGCTATTTCTCATACATCCTAAACCAAAGAATGTCAAACAAGCCATGAAACATCAAAACTGGTACAGTGCCAAACAGGAGTTTGATGCCTCACAGAAAAATAACACCTAGATGCTTATTCCTCTGCCCTTCAACAGACAAGTCATAAAAATACCCATATTTTACATGTCTGACTTCATTTAACGTGTAGGCCACTCGTTTGATGGAGGTACTAATCGATAACAAATTTGACACATTTTAGTTGTAAGGATTAAAACAACACACAAAATTTGAGGGAATAAAAAGGAGTTACTAATATTTTGGTGGGATGAAAACCATAGTTTACCCAAAAAAATATATAAAAAAAGAAGTGGAAAAGCATTCACACTGGTTGTAAAAAACAACAATAAGAAAATAAACCTGACACATTTCGCTTGGCTACCTCCTCTGCGCATCGCTTCCTTTCATCCAAATTTGGGCCTCCAACAACAGAACCAAAGATTGATCCAACTACCTAATTTTGTATTGTCTCAGTCAAACTTAAAGATTAAGAATAATTGGATTTATACTAATACAGGGTTTATACATTTATGAATTTGTACTAATACAATTGGATTCATTGAACAAGATGAAGCTTAATACAATATTAGAAGAACTAATAGATGACAATGTTAGTAGTGCTTTTAATATGTCAATTGTGCATGAGTTTTATTGGTATATTATTTGTTTCAGGAATTAAGTGGTCAAAATGAGGTTATTGATGTGGAAAATATCAATCTTAGAGTGTAATTTATGAAATAGTGTATTTTTATTTAGACTTACCTATTCAAATTGTTTGAGAAATTAATTTTATTTGGACTTTGTTTTTTGAGCAGTAATTATTTGAACTTATGTATACTATTTTTTTACTTATGTTTTAAAGTGAAATTTTATCTGGATTTATACTTTTTCATGTAATTTATTTGACTTTATACTTTAAGAGAGTAATCTTTTGATAATTTTATTCAAAAACACAATTTTTGTTTTAAATCTGCAGGTAATTTTAGTGGGTTCAAAAGTGAAGACTAACAATCTCCTCGAGTAAACTTCTCAAAAAGTATTTCTAAAAAAAATGAAATAAGTTTCTTCACTAGTTTAGAAAAACTAATATGAGATATCTTTTACAAATTAACTTATGCATAAGCTAGTTTTAGCTTTTAGACAAACTGGAAATATTGATAGAAGTGAAAAGCACAGTTCTTAATCTGTCTGTTTCTCTCTCTACCTCTGTGTTTTGTTTTGTTCTTCTTTCTTCCCCTCTTTATTTTTGTTACCCACGTCTGTAAATCCTTTATCATTAGTATTAGAATCAACAACTCTCAGCCAGTAGACCAAAACTTTTCACCCATGGTCATTGGGCCAAAAACAAAATCATAGGCACCACTGTGCAACATGGAAGAACACTTTGTTCAAATTAAGAAGAAACTTGCTCAGGCTAATATATTATCAAACATGATTTTGAGGGCATTTTTAATCATCTGCAGGAACTAATATGTGAATGATACAGGATGTTAATTCAGATTGTTAGTGGTTGTTATTGATTGGTTTAGATGAGGGACACGTGTCATTAGGAGATATAGTGAGTTCGTTAATTCTATTAAACTTTCAGTTGGGAAGTTGTTAGTCTGTTAGAGAATTACTACTATATATAGCAGATTGTAAACAGTAGCTCAAAAGAAAAAGAAATGGAAGGTAATTCTTTTGAAATTCTTTTAATCCAATAAAAGTTTTGTTCGGATTCCATTCAATTCTTTGGTTTCCCTACCCATTCTTGGTTCTTCTTCGAGTTCAATTGATCTTCCTAGAAAAACCCTATTAATTGGTATCAGAAGGTGACCTTCCAACCACGTTTTCGCCATGGCTGGCAACACACGCTCTGTTCATGACGACGTTGAGAGCTTCAAGGCTTCAATGGAGACGTATTTCTTAGATATGGGAACTTCATTGGAGTCCCGCTTCATGGACATTGGGACTTCACTAAAGAACAGTCTTGAGGAGATGTTCCGTTTCCCCCGGTATTGGTATTCAATCTCACCCTTACTCTTGTAATACCCGGTTGACTAGGCTAGATTTTCCTCGCTTCAATGGTGATGGTATGAAACAATGGTTAATCCAATGTGAAACTTTCTTTTCTGTCGATGGTACACTAGAGGATTACAAAGTTCGGTTGGCAGTGGTTCATTTCGAGGGCAAGGCCTGCAGTGGCACAGTGCCTATGTCAAGAATGTAGGTTTACCAAATCTTCCATCTTGGGATGAGTACACCAAGATCTTGATTGCTCGTTTTGGCGAGGTATGCGAGGATCCTATGGCTGAATTGATGAGATTAAGACAAAAGAGTTCTGTTCAGGACTATCATGAAGCTTTTGATCGACTAGTTTCTCAAGTGGAACTCTCTGAGGCCAATCAATTGAGCTGTTTTTTGGGTGGATTGAAGCAGGACATGCAGATGATGGTAAGGATGTTCCAACCCACCTCTGTGATGAAAGCTTTTTTGTTGGCCAAGATGTATGAATTTGCAAACAACACTAATTCTCAACCTAAACCATTCTCCAAACAACTTAAACCACCCTTATTACCTAACTCTCCCAAAAACCTTGAAATCAATCCACCAAAAATACAAGCTACTAGAAGTTTAACCCCTGCTTATATGAATGAAAGGAGAGCCAAAGGTCTCTGCTACTTTTGTGATGAACCATTCACCCCGGCTCATAGCCTAACCCACAAGAAATTACAAATCCATGTCTTGGAGTTGGATGAGATCACTGATTCTGATGAAGAAACCCCAACAGTGGTAGAAACAGGTGCAAGCAATGTGGTGGAACCTTTAATTTCAGTTAATGCCTTGACTGAAGTTACTAGCTTTAGAACAATGAGGGTCACTGGACTATTCAAAAAGAAACCTCTGCATATCCTAATTGACAGTGGAAGCACTCATAATTTCTTGGATGTTCACCTGACCAAGAAGTTGGGATGCGAGATTGCTAACATGGACCCTTTGAGTGTCACGGTAGCTAATGGTGCTAGGGTGCAGATCAATAGTATGGTCAAAGAATTTTCCTGGCTGCTGCATAATGCATCCTTCAAATTTGACATGCTACTGTTACCCTTGAGATGTTGTGACATGGTGCTTGGTATAGAATGGTTGATTACTGTTAGATATGATTAGATATTAGTTGATATTGTTTGATATTGTTAGATATTGTTAATCACAATATCAAATAATATCTTTTTATTTACCCTATTTGTATTCGGTTACTCTTTTGAGGAATACCTTTCTTTATTATAAATACACTGCCCTATGTGTGGTAAATACATAAGGGAAATTAACCCTATATTCAACATGGTATCAAGAGCTTAAGGTCTCTTGGGATTTTTTTTCGGCTCTGCCACTGAACCTGCAGCTGTCGCCGCCTCCATCGCCGCCGCCGTCGCCACCAACGTCCGCCGCCGCGCGCCGTCGCCGAGTAGCGATTCGGACCGCCGAGACACGGGGTTTTGCTCGCCTCCTCCGTGCGACCTCCACGCGTGGAAGTTTCGCGGTCATCGGAGCGGCCACGCTCCCTCACGCGCCTCCGAAGCCGCGCCACCTTCTCCCGTTCCGCCGCGCGTGGCGGCGCGTCTCGCCGCTGTTCGGGCCGCCGATCTTTGCGCGGCGTCGCCTCCTTCTCCTCTCTCCGGATCTGTCCTCGCTGCTCCAATCGGACCTCTTTGGTGTTTTAGGGTTTTTCTCTCTCTTCCTCCATGGCATCTTCCGCTGCCACTTCCAGTTCCGAAGTTACCTCCGTCGGCTCCGGTGGGTGCGAGCAATTTGTTTTTACTAATTATGTCAATGTGAATTTACCCATTGATAAATTAGATGGTACGAATTATGCAACTTGGGCATCGATATTAGACTTTGGCTTGAGAGTCGGGGGTATGTTGATCATCTTACTACCAAGGTAGATGATGTTCCTTCCAATGATCGTGTCCAGTTGGAAGAAAGTTGATGCTCATATATGTATGGTTCTCAAGAATACCATTCAATCTTCTTTAAAACAAATTTTTCGATCGTATGGCACATGTTATGACATTTGGGAACAAGCCAAATTATTATACACCAATGACACTCAACGTCTTTATGGTGTTTGTTACAATCTTCTTGATGTTATTGCTCCTCGAGATAAGGATCCTGTGGCGGATTATGTGGGTAAGATCCATGCTCTTCTCCATGAATTTAATGAGTTATTACCCCCTGCCTCGACTCCTGCCCAAGAATTAGAGCAACGATCAAAGTTTTTCATGGTTTTGATGTTACACGGACTTGCCGATAAATATGCCCCTGTTCGTGACCGGATTTTGGGTTCCCCTGTTACACCCGGTTTACCGCTACCGGTTCCTCCCTTTTGCGGGTGCCATGTAAACCTCTCAATATTCCCCCTGTAGTTTCTAATGATTCATCCGCCTTGGCCTCTCACCGTGATGATCGTAATCGCTCTCACAAGCCGGGCAAAGGGCGTGTCAAGTGTGACCATTGTGGCAAACTAGGCCACAAAATTGACAAATGTTATGCTTTACATGGTTATCCTCGCCGATCTGCTGCAGTTGCTCGGATCGATTCTTCCGCACAATCCTCTGCTTGTGGATCCTCCTTCGTCTGTACCTTCGGACAAATGCTGCTATCTTCAATGATTTTCTTCAATGGTATGAGGATCGAAAGCCCTCCAGTTCCACTACTTCGTTGCCCACACAGGTACATCTTTTCGTTGAGTCGACTCACTCTTCTTCTATTGGCCCTTGGGTTCTTGACTCGGGCGCCACCGATCACATCACTCGGTAACAAATCCTTATTTTCCTCTTTCACTTCTTCTCATAATTTACCCTCCGTTACAATGGCTAATGGGTCTACAACTTTAGCCCATGGTGTTGGAACGGTTACTCTTTTTCCCTCGTTGTCCATTGATAATGTTTTGTATGTACCGGGTCCCCCTTTAACTTATTATCCATTAGCCGTCTAACTCGATTTCTTGATTGTGTTATCTCTTTTACCAAAACTTCGTTTCCCTACGGGACCGGAGCTCGCAAAGAGTGATTGGCACCTAGGATGTGAGTCACATGGACTTTATTATCTTCAACCTTCTCCACATGTTGGCACGGTTATGGAGTCTCCTTCTCTCCTTCATGCTCGGCTTGGTCACCCCGGTCTGCGCAAATTACAGCAACTTGTTCCCGACTTATCCCAGTTGTCCAATTTGGTGTGTGAGTCCCGTCAATTAGGCAAACATAGTCGTACTTCCTTTTCTCGTAGTGTTTCCCAGCGTGCTTCATCCCCCTTTGCCTTAGTTCACTCGACATTTGGGGACCCGGTCGTGTTAAGTCTAATTTAGGTTTTCAATATTTTGTTACTTTTATTGATGATTTCTCTCGTTGTACTTGGTTATTTTTAATGAAAAATCGTTACGAGTTGTTTTCTATATTCCAAAACTTTTATCATGAAATTAAAAATCAATTTGGTGTCTCTATTCAAACTTTTCGAAGTGATAATGGTCGTGAATATCTTTCAAACTCGTTTAAACAATTTATGGTTTCTCATGGCATTCTTCATCAAACTTCTTGTGCTTATACCCCTCAACAAAATGGGGTGGTGAGCGCAAGAATAGACACCTTATTGAAACAACCCGTACTCTTTTAATTCATGGTGAGGTTCCTCAACATTTTTGGGGTGATGTTGTTCTTACTTCTGTTATCTTATTAATCGTATGCCCTCTTCGGTTTTAGATAACAAAATTCCCCATTCTATTTTATTTCCTCATGACACTCTCCATCCTTTACCTCCGAAGGTTTTTGGGTCTACTGTTTTGTCCACAATTTTGATCCTGGTCATGATAAGTTATCTCCTCGATCACACAAATGTGTTTTCTTAGGATTTACTCGATCCCAAAAAGGATACAAGTGTTTTTCTCCTTCTCTTAATCGCTATTTTGTGTCTGCAGATGTCACCTTCAATGAGTGTTCCTTTTACTTTAAGGACCCTTCCCTACCTGCTGAGTCTCCATCTGCTACAGTTCTCATTCCTGTTCTCATTGATCCCTATGTTGAGGACCATCCACCATTAGCCCCTCCTCCTCCACCACCCCTTCGGGTTTATAGTCGCGAGACCTCGCCCACAACAGCACGCCACATGACTCACTCCCGGTGCCAAATACTCGCCTCCTCCGGTTCAGTCCACGAGTCCGACCTTCCTATTACCCTTCGTAAAGGTACGCGTTCTACTCGTAATCCTTCTCCACATTATCTTGCTTTAAGTTATCATCGAATTT